GTGGTGTATACAATGCTGGACATTGAAGATAAATTTAAACATTTAAACTAGTAACCCTTGATATTATGAAATGTTTAATGTTATTTAAATTATAGTTTTAGTATTTACAATATTAGTAAACGTTAAAGTTTCTCCTAAAATAAAACTGAAGACATCCGAAGATAAAGCTGATATCTCAATGAGACATATAAGAGAATCACCCCTTAGTATCCTGAGCATAGAGTAACCTCTGTCAGAGCCATAGCCTTGTGGGCAACACATCGACGTGCAGGCACAACTACACCTCAGACAACATGGCTTCGAATCCCAGCTAAAGGTACTTTCCTGCTCCTGTTCAATTCTCACCTGTCCAATTGTTTCCTGTCTCTACTCCTACTGTCCTGACCATTAAAGGTGAAAATCCCCATTGCAATAAAAAAGGCAACAGCAACCTCTGAGCAGTAAAACATGTTTGTAATGGAGTCTTGCAAGAGATTACAGCAAGACAATAAAGTGATGACAATAAAGTGATCTCCCATTTTTCTCACACGTTTCTGTCCCATTGTCATTTTGGTTCCTTTTTTTCAGAACTTTCTCATGTCTCAGTTGTGTCTACGTTTATTTCTCCTAAGGATTTTTTGGAGAGACATCTGAGACACTGTTGAGACGTGTCTAAAATTTCTCATTTTAGAGAAATACATTAAAATCACAACTAAGTCTCCTGAGGTTAGAAAGAGCAACCACTGAGCAATAAAATATTCCTATAATGGAGTCTTGATAGAGATTGCAGCAAGACAATAAAGAGATATTCTATGTTTCTTCCACCACATTCTCAGTTTTGACTCTTTTTTTTTTTCTCAAATATTTATCATGTCTCAGTTGTGTCTACTTCTATTTCTCCTAAGGAATTTTAGGAGAAATATCTGAAATGCTGTTGGTACTAAAATGAGAGATATATGAGAATCTCATAGTCTCCTGAGCTTAGGAAGAGCAACCACTGAGCAAAAAAAAAATTCCTATGGGATATACCGGTTTTTGTTTGTTTGTTTTTTCTCACAAAATAAGACAAATCATATGTATTTGTCAGCTTTAATGCATTTACATAAAAACAGTTAATGTATTCCCTTGTGACGTTGCATGTGTAAAATAAGTCAGAAATATGTAACTTCTAGGTTATGTTTGATTTTGGAAGTTGGAAAATTCATAGCCTATATAGTTTTTTTTTTTTTTTTTCAGTGCAATATTGTGGTACACAAACAGCTCAAAGGTGACAAAGTCAGCAAGTTCATCTCTCTGAATGCACCACTCTGATTTCAAGGAGATGCATTAATAGTTAAGTCATGCACCATACATTCTGTTATTGACACTTATTTTGGTTTCGACCTACTTTAGATCTGACTTTCTTAACCCCTTAACTGTCACTCACATTTTTGAACATAGATGTGAAAGTGCACAACCAAACTTAATTTTTTATAATTCATGAACGAAAACATTTTGTAACATGATATTGATGTACCATTTTCATGGTAATGCAATGTTTGATTTTAAAATGGGTTTCAAAGAATGAATTTTGAGATTTAAAGTTTTCAATTGATATATAATTTCTGATGATTTCTAAAGTGTGATAGAGAAAAAGGCAACAAAGAAGACTTTTTTTGACAAAGGTCAGAACTCATGTTATGATGTAGATTTTTGAGGTGCATAAATTAATCTATTACTTTTCCTACATAATTTTTAACAAAAACATTGGTAAAATATCTATTTAGGAGTCTTAGACCTTTCCAACGATATATAGTTTGTCATGATTAGATTAGGATTTAATTGTAATAATAGTGAAGTAAACTTAGGCATCCCACAGAGGGGACGGGTGACAGTTAAAGGGTTTAAGCTATAATGCATAGATGAAAATAGATTCAATTGCACAGATAAAAATAAGCCCAAACTGGCATGCACATTTACACCCTTTTCCTGATGCAAAAGCTCTCCAGCATGTGATATGCCCTGTAAAGAGGCCAGTCCATCCCTCAAACGGCTGCCGGCTCCATTAATTATAAGACGGCGTCAGAAAGCATCACACGCCGTCTAGACCCTCTGCCAGAGTCAGTGAAATGAGATCCCACGTCTGTCAGAAACATAGAGCTGGTCGCGACTGACACCAACAGGAAGCTGAATTATGATAATGGATGGTTGGGTCACATATAACGCTATGGTCCAGGAATATTCACGTCCTCAGGTGCCATTTATGTTTGCTGCGGTTTGAGTTGATCTGGAGTAACTCTAAACCTATATGAGGCCCAAGTAATGATCATACAAGAAATAAGTAAATTGATTCAGAAATCAACAAATCAATAAAAACAAATAATAAAACAAAGATAAATAAAATGTAAAAACAAATAAAAATGAATGAATTAATGAATTAATAAATTAAAAATACATTGAAAATATAATGTAAAATGTAGCAATTGATAATATGTAAATATTTTTTAAAACTTATTGCAATCATTAAGCCCTTACAAATGAGGAACACAACAAGCGATTCATCATAAAGAGACAAATAACACATACACACACTCTCTCTCTCTCTCTCTCTCTCTCTCTCTCT